AGTTGGAGTTTCAGTCTCCGGCAATAGCATAGCTTTTTCTTCTCAAAGTAATTTCTTTTGGATTTTCAAAGTAATTTCTTTTGGGGTTTTAAGAATATAATTTGCCCAAAACCCTCTGTCTCACTCCAGTCTCAGCAAGAACACCGAGAAGTAGAGAAGCTAGAAATCCCTAATTTGTTCATCCTAGTATAAGGTAAGTATATTCCATTTTTATTTACTGTTTCTTCATTTTCTAAGGTAGATTTCAGTTCAGATTCGTTAGGGTTTTGGGAGCTGCTCTGCTTTCTAAATTTGAGGATTCCCTTCCTGCTCTTAGCCAAAAAATAAATATAATAAGGTTCATATGTCTATCAGTATTATTTGCATTTGCATTTCTATTTGCTTAAAGATCCCTTTAATAAATTCATAAGTCGAATTATTAAATTAAATGCCGTTTTCCCCCAAAATCTGGAATATAAAATTCATTTCGAGTTTCAAGTATTGCATCTTTTAGTGTTAAGTGGGCTTATGATATGCTAACATATATAATAATTAAAATCTGTTAAAACATGGAGTAATAAAATGTAGAAGAAATGGAATCAATAACTAGTTTTAGAGGGAAAAACGAATAAAACAAAGGGCAGATAACTATGTAAAATAAATGTGCTAATTTGTGAAGTGGGAATTATTGATTTTCTTATTTATTTTATTCTCACATGGCATGTTAATTTTCTTTTTCCCTGTGCACCAGTTAATAATGATCTTACAAAGAATTTAATAATACACGTGCATCAACAATGTCATTTTACCTACTTCACCAAACATATTTCGGGCTTAAGATGTTGGCGAAAAGGAAAGGAAAGAAAATCAGAGGGATATTTGGGAGAGAAGGACTGGTTAGATATGCAAGAAATTTAGATATTCTCTGTACTATAGTACTTACAAAAAGTGTACTAGGGTCAAGTTGTAAATGTGTATGTGATTGGTTGAGGAAGAGTAATACAAATATTCCCATTTATAAATACAGAGAAAAGATTCAAAAGTATACTAATTTGCAAATGATGTGTGGTCATTTGCATATAAATGCAGCTGCTATTGGGAGGCTATTATTAAAGTCACATTCTTAGAAGTAGCATTAATGTCAAAGTTTTCTGCTAGTTGAAGCACTTGCAAATATCCAACCGATCATTAATGAACTTCTTTCCTTCTTTAGCAGTAGGAATAATATAGAATAACATGCATCTCAAGTTTCCTTCTTTAGCTTGATAAGCCACATTTAACTATTGATACATTGATTGCAGCACATTTTTAAACATTCTAGTCTTCTTCATTTGCATGTTATTGTTGGGAGATATGACTATGACTATGCAAATGCATTCTTTATTATGAGATTTTCAAGTTTGGTAGTGTTTATGATTATAGATGACTTTTGTTGTATGTATTTATTGCTTCATAGTTAATATTCTGTATTCTAATAATAGAGAACTGATATTTTCTCTTTATATTTTGTAAGGTTCATCAGTTGCACTTGAAAGTTAATACTTTTTATGGATAAATCTTGGATTAGAAAGTCAAGGAACACGACGGAATATTTATTTGGTTTAAATCAGTTTTTAGATTTTGCATTTGCTAATGCTGTTGTTGGAAATAGAATAAAGTGTCCTTGTCCTAAATGTGGATTCACAAAGTGGCAGACTAGAGAGATAGCGCTGGATCATTTGATTTGCAAAATATTCCCTCAAAATTATGTCACTTGGAGTATTCATGGTGAAAGAAATATACTGCCTAATTCTATAAATAATGTGGTTGTACAAGATACATTAGCTCCTGAAAATCCAGTAGAATTATTGATCAATGAAGCATTTGGGGGCCTAAGGCACGATGGGGTTGATGTAGGTCCGTCAGAAGTAGCGGGTGGTGAGGAAAGATTAAATGATGAGCCTGCTTCAAATGATAAAGACTTTTTCGAGTTGCTTAGAGATGGAAGTCAAGAATTGTATGAAGGGTCCAAAATGCAATAGATGAGCATATGTCTAAATTGGCATGTCAATTTTCCTATATCCTTATATGTTTATTTTTTTCTTCTATATATATATGTACTTTATTTTGTATTTTGTTTTTTATTTATTTTCTATTACTAATTAATTTTTTGTTGATTGCAGATATGCCGAAGACCAAACCTTTCCAGAACTTACAAAAGTCAGTTCAATCAGCGTCTTCTATAGAATCCATGGGGCAGACAACTCCTTGCATTCAGCCGACTCCTTCTTTTTTGACGACATCACTATCAACTCCTTCATTTTAACCCACAAGACAACAAACCGCTTCATTCAGGCCACAACACAGCCAAGACAACAAGCTCTTTCATTTCAAGCCATGGGGCAAACAACTCCTTGCATTCAACTGACTCCTTCTTTTCTGACGACATCACTACCAACTCCTTCATTTCAACCAACAAGACAACAAACCGCTTCATTTCAGGCCACAACACAGCCAAGACAGCAAGCTCTTTCATTTCAAGCCATGGGGCAGACAACTCCTTGCATTCAGCCGACTCCTTTTCCGACGACATCACTACCAACTCCTTCATTTCAACCCACAAGACAGCAAACCGCTTCATTTCAGGCCACAACACTGCCAACTTCTTCATTTCAGGCCATGGGACAGACAACTCCTTCATTTCAGGCCACGGGACAGACAACTCCTTCAACTCAACCTCCAATTGATCCCACACCAGCATAAGCAACATCCAATAAGCGTGCTAAACATGAGTTTTCACATCATTGGACTATCGATGGAATAGGTAATCATTATCCTTTTGTTGCTGTATAGGCATATCTGTTGATGTTTTGAACATTCTGCTCGTGTGTTCATGTTTTGAACTTTCTTGGATGGAAATTGTTCACAAGGCAGCCAACTGCATCAGGGGATATTGCCCATGTTAGCAACTGTTTTGGAAATTGTTCGCAAGGCGTACTAAAACACAATAGTTTAGCCTGTTAAAGAATGCATAAACTCCTAGATTCTGAAAGATTGGTTCTTCGATTATATGAGTTTATTTCTTCTGTCTAAATTCCAATTGCCAGTGATACACAATAGTTTTGTATATTAACTTTCTCTTACCTTCACTTTTTTGCTTTTATTTTTATTTATTAAAGATTCACGTGGAGATACCAAAAGGCTCAAATTGAAGTCTAGAGAAGCATTAAGTTTACTTCAGGGAGACCGTGTTGTGGTGGAGTTTGATTGCTTGGATCCGATTGGCGAAGCACAAGGCCTTCTTGCCGGCGTATGTGGCATTTTAGCAACTGATTGTACCATATTTCCAATTGGCTTTGATAAATGGCCGGATATGCCTAAGTCATACTTTAACGATTGCTTTAATAACATTATAAAGCTATAAGTTCTATATCTTTATAACTATCTCTATTGTCTTTTATTTTTATATTTGTATATAAAAGATAAACTAACCACTATGATACTGATAATTACTCAAAATTTATTTTTGAAGCTTCATTTCTGTTTTATGACCATTGAGGAAGTTGCACGAGGATATATTTATCGCTCTATTTCAAAGAAGTGGGCTGCAAGTAGGCAAAAGTTATGGAATGAGTTTAAAGACCCACTTAAAACCAAAGATGAGATTATGGATAATATTCCGGTAGGTATTACTCGGGATCAGTGGACTTCCTTTGTGAACTACCGTTATAAAGAAGAAACTTAGGTATTTTTTTGAAACTTCACATTGAAATTTGTAAAAATATGATTATTCATGTATATAATAGACTGAAATGTATCTTATTATTAGAACATGTGTAAAAGAAATGCTGAAAATCGGAAGAAACAAACAGTTCCACACACCGGTGGCTCCAAACCTAATTCTAGAAGAAGGGCTGAAATGGTGAAAAATGTTATATTATTTACCTTACTTTACTATTTAAATATTAGATATTGTATCTATTTCTTTTACTTTTATTAAACTATTCTAACTTATTTTTATTTTCATACATAGATGGCTGAGACAGGGAGTAAGCCTGGACGAGCACAACTTTATCTTGCTACACATACGAAACAAGATGGATCATATGTAAATGAGAAGGCAAAAGAAATATGTGTAAGTTACTACTTTGAGAATTCTAAGAATTAGCGCATTTTAAGCACTTGCTCATGCAGCTAAAAGAGTACCAGATAATGTTGTTTTCAGAATTTTGCAACAGTTATTTTCATCTCAATACACCATTCTCCCAACTCATGATGTTTGATTCCAGGCATGCGTCTAACAAATTCGCAAGTGATGTTGTTATCTTTGATATACTTGTAACATTTTGTAAGCTAAGGAGATTTTGCTGTCATTTAAAAGTTAGATGCAAGGATTTCGGCTGAACTTCTTATGAGCTATATTGTCTTATATGTTTTCTAGCAGATCTCGCGGAGTTAGGTAGACGTGGCTGGCTTCACAGAACCAGATGGAAATACGCAGGCGCAAAAGCGCAGAAGCGAGGAGCGGACCGTAGAAGCAGCCTCACAGGTGCGTGTTTTGGGCTGCAGGTGCAGCTAGTCAGGTTCCTAAGTGAGTTCCACAGGTGCGGAGATTGCTCCGCAGATGCGGTTCCACAGAAGAGGATTTTTGGCTTGCAGGTGCGAAAATGTCTGGGCAGAATATAAAATCGAAGGTTTAGTTATTTTCTCATTTCTGGACTTTTGGAGCTCGGTTGGAGGCGATTTTTGGGAGGGGTTTCACGAGATTTCAAGACTTTTGATGGTTTTTATCTACTAGTATTGAATATCCATTAAATTTCCCACCTAGATTATATGTTTGTTAAGGTAAAATTTGGGAAATTTTGGACTAGGAATTGGAGAGTAAGATTTGGGGATTGAGTGGTGATTGATGTTGGAATTGGATAATGTTGGTATGGTTGGATTATTGAATGTGTTTCGGATTTTGTTAATTTTGTTGGATTCTGAGACGTGGGCCCGGGGTTAATTTTTGAGTTGACTTTTTGACTTTTGTTAAAGAACCTAATGGTATCATATAGAATTGATTTCTATAGCTTGTCTTGATTGTATCGAGTTGTTTGTGGCTAGATTCGAGTCATTCGGAATTCGATTCGCAAGGCAAAGGCTCGTTGGAGTAGAGATTTGTATGGTTTGAGGGCTGAAGGTTAGTCTTATTACTTCTTGAGTACTTTGGATTTGTTGTACTCATACTACATTCTGTACTTCATGTGCAGATTCACGTACTTCTGGGCACAGTGGTTGCTAGCTTTGGAGCTTTATCTATTTGGAGACTATTGGGGTAGCTGCCTTGGCGTACGCAGACCTCGACTATCCCTTTATTTGTATTGTTCTATCTTTCTAGAGATTTATTTTTAACAGTTAGACTGTTTTGTCATATAGATGCTCATGTACTCAGTGATACCCGAATTTTGGGGGATTTTGTATTGAGCCGCGGTATTTTCTTATCAGTTAAATTATGAGATTTTTCACTATTAAGGTTTTTTCATTATCTTTTCAATTTAAAGATGTGTGGTTTTGTGATTATCGACTTGCCTAGTATTGCGATAGGAGCTATCACGACATGTGAAATTTTAGGTCGTGACGCTTCTATAATACTATTTTCATTCAACAATAATTTATATATANGAAAAACTTTAAGATGTGAAGTATTTATAACCATAGTTGATGCTGCTTAAACTATCTATTGTTGAAACTAGTCTTTCAAAGATACGACGTAAAGCAAGACTCACCTATCTCCTAACCTTTAACCCTAATACTCGACCTCCACATCTTCCTATCAAGTGTTATGTGCTCAAAAATTTGAAGTCTCGCCATATCCTGCCTTATAACTTCTCCCTATATTTCTTAGGCCGCACTCTACCTCTTCGCGTGCCCTCCACAACCAACCGCTCACACCTCCTTACCGGAGCATTTGGGCTTCTCCGTTGAACATGCCCGAATCATCTGAGCCTTGCTTCCCGCATCTTGCCATTCCTAATCTTATCCATCCTAGTGTTCCCGCACATCTACCTCAACATCCTCATTTCAGCTACTTTCATCTTCTGGATATGTGAGTTCTTAACAGGCCAACACTCAGCCCCATACATCATGGCCGGTCTAACCATCGCTTTATAGAACTTACCTTTGAGTATCGGTGGCACTCTCTTGTCATACAGGACTCTAGATTCTGACCTCCACTTCATCCATCATACCCCAATACGGTGTGTGACATCCTCGTCGATCTCCCCTCCCCCCTGGATAACCGACCCAAGGTACTTGAAGTTGCCGCTGCTTGGAATGACCTGTGATTCAAGTCTTACATCTATGCCCACTTCCACCGGCTCAGCCCTAAACTTACTGTCATGACCCAAACCGATGGGTCGCGACGGGTGTCTGAGTCCTATCTGTCAAACACCCATAAGCATGCGTCTAAGATATGAACCTGTATAACATCTGCTGCATTACGAAAATAACATACGTAAAAGAAACCTACCATCAAGGCATATGTACGTATACAGGCAGAATACAGTGGGCGAGCCGGCAAGACTGCTATAGACAATTATACATCCAAAACTGAAAGCCGACAAGGCCACATACAACCCAACTAGACATATTGTCTACAGACATCTAATAGAAACATAAATGTACAANATATATATGTATATATATAAACGTATCGTACCAAAACCAAAAATAGCTCCATGTTAAGTGGAGCACGCCAACTCTCGCTGATCAAGAATCCTAAGAAGAGGGACCGTCAGCTTGCCTACCTGCACCTGCGGTCATGAAACGCAGGCCCTGTGAAATAGGGCGTCAGTACGAAAAATGTACTGAGTATGTAAGGCATGAAAATAAGTACATAAAAGACATAGATGAAACATAGAATACAAAAATACCTTTAAACCTGAATAACTCGGTAAATTTTGAAACATTTATAATATCATGCACATTCGTATAAATGTCGTGTCATGCATAGGTATGTGTGTATATAATATCATTAAGCCACTGAGGGCATCCCATCATATCGTCTCGGCCACTGTGGGCAACATCATCAACATATACCAGCTGATCAGGTGGTGGTGCGTATATAACGCCATAACTCTTCCCATATCCCATATACATATACATACATATATACGCGTATATAACGCCGTTTGAATCATATTTCAGCCACTGTGGGCAACATCATCATCATATACCAGCTGATCAGGTGGTGGTGCGTATATAACGCCATAACTCTTCCCATATCCCATATACATATACATACATATATACGCGTATATAACGCCGTTTGAATCATATTTCAGCCACTGTGGGCAACATCATCATCATATACCAGCTGATCAGGTGGTGGTGCGTATATAACGCCGTAACCTTTTCTCATATCCCATATACATATATTTACATATATACGCGTATATAACACCATCTGGTCATGGGTCAATGCACATGTATAAATGAGTGAAATGTATGAAAAATACATAATAATCTCGATATTCCTTCCGGATAAACTTTTCCAACTACGTATTATTCTGAGACCTATGAACAGAAGATAATGATAATTCTCATGGGGAATCAAGAATATAGACACCCCTGCTATTTTTATGAATAGGGTAATTTATAGAAGACTATGTATTTGCTCATTTTTTCAGTATAATTTAGACCATGCCAAAAGAAAGAAGAGAGGGCCTTAACATACCTGTTCCTGGAATTACTTGAACGAATCTACTTCTGCGAAATTTACATTGGATTTCTTTGAAATTGGACGAACTTCGCTTGGTCTTGAAATTTTGGACAAATTTTGATTTCAATTCTGAACCTTTTTTTGTTCTTAAAGACAAAGTGTCTTTTAAATGTTACCAAGAATCAGAAAAGACTATTTTACTTAAGTTAATCAAGTCTTGCTAAAGTTATGGATTTAAAAATCTTGGTTGAAATGTTCTGTATTCAATGGCTAATGTTTGGGTTATGGTTGAAGGGAGTCTTTGTGTAAGAATGATATTCATTCTAATGGGTTAGTCTTAGTGTATATGGAAGATTTTAAAAAAAGTGTGAAATGTGACATTATGCCACCTAACCCAAAAATGACTAAGAGTCATTGTTTGGAAGTGGCATGGCTGCCACGTTACTCCTTGGGGGGGGTGATTTTAATTTATCCACTTATTAGTTAATCGGGTAATGTTTCGTTACCCGGTAATTAATCTATTACCCGCATAATTTAAAAATTATCACAAATTACTTAAAATTTTATGTATTTTCAAAATACTTCATATATACTTTATATATTACACTACCGTGGTCATATGGTACCTTGCATTGTACTAATTTATAATTATCACATACTATCGCTCGACCCGTATTTTATTCCAAATTGGCAATTCCCAATGAAACTCGTTTTCGTTAATTCGTGTACCCCTTTATCCTTCATAACACTTATTCATCGCTTGTTATAAATAGCGTAAGTACATTAACGTCAAGATGATCTCATCCCCGAGTCTACGTCGGTTAACTTGAAGACGAAATTTTACATACGAAAACGCGAGATGTAACATCCTTCCCCCCTTAGAAACATTCGTCCTTGAATGTTCAACTCCCCATGATCTATATAACTTTGGCAGGGTTGCCTTTGTAACAACACCACTACCAATTCTCCTCGTAGAATCTTAATAACCCAATGCCACATAGGACCACAATTATGAATAACGACCATGGCCTCACACGACCAACGACAATAACCAACATAAGAATTTATACACGTACCTTATGATTATGACGTCTCAGTCTGACCCTTCTCTAGAGGAGGAAATAAGTAGGGATATCTAGACTTCATGTTTTCCTCGGCCTCCCAAGTCATCTCTTCCACATTGTTGTTTCTCCAAAGCACTTTCACGGAGGCTACCTCCTTATTCCACGGCTTGCGAATTTGTCGGTCTAGGATGTCAATCAGAATTTCCTCGTATGATAAGTTCTCTATAATCTGTACATTATTCATGGGCACCTATCACGACCCTAAACCCGGACTCGATCATGATGCCGCCTCTCATGGAGACAAGGCCAACCGACACTTCCCATTTCAATTTTTAACAGATAAACCATAAGAAATAAGTCTAAAGCATAATAAATAAAATCTCAAAGTAGCAGATAATAGCATGATTTGCGGAATACAACCCAACACAGCTTGATACCGGGGTGTCACTAGTCATGAGAATCTAAACAATCCGAAATACTCAGAGAAATCTTCAGAGTTTAATACAGTAACTAAGAACATGGAGAATAAGATAGGGAAGAAACTCCGGGCTGCAAACGTCGACAGCTACCTAGAACCTCCTCGGATCTGCCTGAGTTGGAAAGATCAGCACTCGAGAGTGAGACCAGATGCACCTGAATCTGCACACGGGGTGCAGGGAGTAAAGTGAGTGCTCCAACTCAGTAAGTAATAATCATAAATAAGGACTGAAAGCAGTAAATCATGTAAAGCACATTTACAGACTATAATGAAGCAGTAAAACCAGTGAAAGATATGTGAAAGTTATTTAACTCAAATTAAACTTCACGAAAACCTTTTTCAACAATTTAAGCATGTAAATGACAAGCAATTAAGGAAAATAAGCACATAAAGGTTCGCCCCTCGGGCACAGTATCAACAAATCCGCCCCTCGGGCAATATCTCAGAACAATACCAGCCCTTCGGGCTATATCTCACATCACAATGGGTACCCGTGCTCACTGGGGGTGTGCAGACTCCTGGAGGGGCCCCATATGGCCCAAGCTCAATATCAATCCATCTCGTGGTATCATCACTAGGCTCTCATCCTCATATCAACAAGCCACCTCGTGGTGTACATATCTCAGGCCCTCGGCCTCATAATCAATATCAAATGTTTCCTCACAACATAGACCCTCGGCCTTACTCAGTTAAAATCCTCACAAGCCATTTGGGCAATAGTAAAACATGATTCTCATCCCAAAATATCATTTTAAAAGTTCATTTAAGTGATAAAACAGAGTAAACATGGCTGAGTATGAAAACAATGAAAGATAACATGATTGAGTTCAAGTATAAAGTCAGAACAGTAAGGAAATATCAATAAAAGTCCCCTAAAGGTTCAAATAGTTGGCACGAAGCCCAAATATGACATTCAACCCAAATAATGATGATAGCAAATAGATTTCAGTCAAATACGTGGCAAAATAGCCATTCAGGATGGACTAAGTCACAATCCCCAATAGTGCACGACCCCACTCTCGTCATCTAGCGCGTGCATCACATCAATATAGCACAACGATGTGCAATCCAGGGTTTCATACCCTCAGAACATCATTTACAATCATTGCTCACCTCAATCCGGCCAAATCTCTAGCCCGCGACACCTTTGCCCCTCGAATCGGCCTCCACTCGCGTCGAATCTATCAAAAATCTGAATCACGACGTCAAAATATGCTAAGCGAACGAAGCCCAAACGAAGATAATCAATTTACAACACAAATCCCGAAATTACCATAACC